ACGCAAGCTCATCGGGGCCTTTGCCCGCAAGGAGAAGGGTCTAAGGTTCCACGTGGGGGGGTGTATTTTTTAGGAACTGCAGGGGTTCCTCTAACCGTAGAAGGGCTCCCTCAGAGGATGCTATAAGGGTACTATAAAGGTTTAGGAGTTTTTGGAACTGATTTTAGAAACCTTGGGGGTTTTTTGTTAGGGGTTCTTATATGGCTATGGGGGCGAATATATTTTTTAAGGGTAAAAGGACCCCTCAACCCCAAGCCCTTAACCGGGTTCCTACAGTAGGATTGCACACAGGACTGGGTCCGGTCCGGTGTAGGATAAAGCTAGAGTTTATACTCAACTAAACCATCTAGAAATCCTTAGAAACCCTTTATGCCCGCTTGAACCCTATGAGCCCTACAAGCCCTATAAGCTCTTTAAGCCCTCAGCTGTAGAGGTTTTTGACCTTAAAGCCCGTGCTGAGGTAGGCGCGACGGATGTGGAGGCGATGCGCGCCATTCGCGCAGCCGTCCCGGAGCTTTGTCTTTTCTTCAGGCTTTAGGGTCTTTAGATTTTGGAGCCTGAAGGCGTTTCGGGTTTAGCCCTACTCCTGCAAGATAAGGCAATGTGGACTGCAGTTTTTGCCCCACAGAGGGTGTAGAGTGCTAAAACTCAAAGACTTGACTCAGCCTTGGCACTTGAGGTAAGCCTTTGAAACAGTTGAATCTCAAGTTAGACCTCTGCCCCTATAGATGTATCAAAAGGTTAACTCATTATACACCACATAAGATATGTACAGCCCTCTACACCCATGAGGAACCTCAAAGAAGCCATTAGCCCTAACCCCTGGCAATTATCCGAAGCTCAGGATGTTTGGTTCCTTTCGCCGGGCATTGGCGCCCAAGGGGGCGACCTCGAAGCAGAAGCTTGACCGTCAAGGTTGTTGCGATAGGCTGGAGGGTCTTGGAGGGCCTGAGTATTTTGCAAGACGCCGTGATGCTTCTTAGGCGGTTCTGCTTTTGAATTCAGGTTGGGGATCTTGTGTGCCCGGTAAGTTTTTGTTGTGCCTTTGTTGGCAGGGCGGGGTATGTGTTCCTTCATGGCCGTTTCCCACCAGAAGCCATGCAGCGTGTCTTGGTTTTACTTGGCAGGCAGGGTGTGATGCGAGGAACCCGCAAAAGTCTAAGCCGGTGAAATCCCCACTCGAAGCCGCATTGTTAAGAGGCCCATGCTGTAGTGTAGAGTTCTGAATAATTGGCATTATCCGCTTTGGCTCCTTATCTAATATATAGTCGCACCCGGTGTTATCTCACAAGTCTACACGCCTCTTCAGTCAGCGTTCTTGGTTCAGGGCCGGTGTGCTCAACCTCTGCCCCTCGTGATTCGAAGATCCCAAATCCGCGCACTCAGGGTTCGGATTGGTCCAGCAGAGATGGGATCCCGTCGTAGCTCTAGGGTCTTGATCTAGCTAAATCTCGAAGTCAAGCCTCGACTGGTGTTCAATTCCTCTTTCCTTATAACTCATAGTACATAGTCCGGTATGCCATACCAGCCCCTAAACCCTAAACCCTAAACCCGAAGAGGTGAAGCGTTAGCAACCCCCAAGCCCCTAATCCCGCATGCGGCAGCCCTCAGCTCTAAGGCCCACGCTAGCCGAAAGTTTCGGAATCAGGGGTTAGGGTTGAGGGTTCAGGGTCTAAGGGTCTTAGGGTTTAGGGTTTGAAGTTGAGGGTTTAGGGTCTTAGGGTTTAGGGTTTAGGATTTAGGGTCTTAGGGTTTAGGGCTTAGGGTTAGGGTTGAGGGTTTAGGGTCTTAGGGTTTAGGGTGTAGGATTCCGAAAGTGTCGGAATGTGATGTCTGCACTCCCCCAAACACCAACTTACCATCGCCGCTCCCTTAAAGCCTGCCTCAACCCATTGCAGTAAGTGTTGGGCACTTGGACCCTTATATGCATATATATATATATAGGTAGGGTAGTTCTCCAAATTAGTGTCCCTTTTTAGGTGCCCAATACAGTACGGCACCCTTCTAAACAAGACCCCAAGTGGGACCCTAATTTAGAGACGCATACGGGGAAAAAAACCTCAAAGGCTCTGACGGCTGGGTTGCGCCCCGACGGCCTGGGCATTCTGCTGCCCATCTCTCGAGGCTTGCTTTTCTGATTCCTGGCTTCGGGTTGGGGCTCCAGCCCCATTCCTCAACCCCTACATAAACCCTAATAGTTTGGGTTTAGGGTTTAGGATTAAATAAACCCTGAATTCCTGATAAATCCCTTCTGGCTGCGCCCGAGCTGCGAGAGCGTACATAGACCCTATTCCCTGAAGCTCTTTCCTATCAGAAGGTTCTGAGGCGAAAGCCCCGTCCCCAAAACACCCAAAGACAAGCCCTCCCCGCATGCGCAAGCCTCATGCAGGGGCCCGCTTTAGGGTTTATAGGGTGGGGCCTCAGAACAGTTGGAACAGAGTTTGGGCACATTCTATTGCAATTGTAGTAAGGAGCCGTAAAGACTTGTTAACATCGGTAGTTATTCAGGTTCATCTGTTGACCCCCCTCCCACCACGCCTTTAAAACTGCAAGATGTGGAGCCTTATACAAACCCCTGTCAAGGTTTCTGAACCGCCAGAAAACCTTTTGAACGGCATTAAAGCTCACCCTGATGAGACCTCAAGAAACATCCAGAAAAGTCTCGAATACCCAAGCAAAACAACAGCGGAAACACCCTTGAACCCTAAACCCAAAAAGTTCAAAACTCAAGAGCCCAGCCCTAAACCCTAAACCCTAAACTCCAAGGCATTTCAAAGGCCGAGTCTCCGAGGAAGGCAGCCGAGGCCTTCCGGGAGGAGATCAACGCACTCAGGGCCAAGCGTGACGTGGCAGAGTTAGTTCTGAGTTACAAAGAAGGGTTAAAAAAAAAAACCCTCGTGGCAGAGTTAGTTCTGAGTTACAAAGAGGGTTTTTATAAAAACCCTCGTGGCAGAGTTAGTTCTGAGTTACAAAGCTTTAGGGTGTTTTTGACTGCATCTTTTCGGTTTTCGCGTTTGCGGTCGTTGTTTTTTGATTTCGGAGGCGTGGGGTTTTGGGGTTCAGGTTTTTCAGGGGTTCACGGATTTCGGGTTCGACCACCCCTTCATAGCCCTAGTAGTGTGTGCAGGCTCAGGCACCATCAGAGCCCGATATCCAAGTTGCATGAGGCCTCTCAAGCGGCAAAAGATTGAACAACAACTACGATGCCCCGACCCCGGTTGAAAGCCAAACGTTCGTTGCCTCGGGACGAAGAGCAGCAACTCAGGCACGGCACCATCTTGATTCCTCTGAGCAACCATCCACAGCTTGATGGGTTCAGGGTTCGAGGCTTGAGGGCTCGGGGTAAAGGGCTTTGGGCTGCGGGGTGAGGCATTTGCAACTTGGGTATGCATTGCAGGTTTAAAGATCCTGCTACGGTTCATTAAAACTTGAATCCTGCAACAGGGTCGGGGTTCAGCAAGTCAGCAAGGAGAGTCGGAAGAACAGGTTGTGCTCTGTTATAGTTTGCCGAGGGTATGTATGCTCTGTTTGCAGTACTGTAGGCGCAGAGGGACCAAGAAACAGAGAGAGACACAGCTAGCTAGCCAGCTAGGTAGCTGTTGTTTGTGATGAAATGGGGCACATGGGACTTAAACCGTAGGGGCTCGCTTTGTTTAGGCCCCAGGGTTCAGGAGCTCGGAGTTTTTCGGAAGGGTTGAGGGTCACTTATGGAATGGGGCGAAGCTCCCCTTCAACTTCAGACGGGGGGAAACGTCTGCCATGCTTGAAGCAGCACGCCAGTGCCCGGCATCTGTGTCGCCTTTGCAAGGCATCGCGGTAAGCTTAATTCCGAGAAGTGTCGACAATGTAGAAGTTTCCGAAAATTAGGGCATCCTATTTTGGGGTCCTTATAATAAGGATCCTACTCTTTGGGGTACTATATGAGGGCCCCCTATTGTCGGAAACCCCCCATGTATGCATGGAAGCTTCATTCATCCTGAAATTTCAAGCCAGGTAAAAGCAGGCCCTACATGCTCAAAGCCTTAAGCCTAAAGCTCCTTGATGATGAACCTGCCCTGTGGGCGTGGCCGTGCAGCACTGCACTTTGATGCAGAGCATTTTCATCTTGTCCGGCAGCTTGCAAAAAGTCTTGCTGCAGAGGGCAGGCTCGCAGTCCAAGAAGCCTACTTGCTTCAAACGAATGCACAAGGAAATCATCATCACGAACCCTGAGCATCTAGCTTCGTTGGGCTGCAGTAGGTTTAGGGAGTGGGTGGGTGATGTGGCGTGCCTCCTTGGAAAGAAAGCGCGCGCTTGAGTTTCTCGCCTGACGGTTGCAGCTTCACACGAGAGGCATAGGATCATTCCGGATGTTAAACCCTTAACAACAAGATCCACCTGCATAGTCTGCATGAATCAGGGAACCCGTCTTCGTGTGCAGCTGCACCCGGTAATCCCAGTCCCAGTCCAACCGTGTATAATCAGGTGTGGTCGCCGAGTTCACTGACGGGCTGGAGGCACGATGCTTTGTTTGAGCGATGTGTCTGATCTGTAGCACTGTAGTAGCCATGCAGCAGAGTCCATAATCACGGAAAGCAGCAGCAGCAGCAGCAGCAGCAGCAGCAGCAGCAGCAGCAGCAGCAGCAGCCGCAGCCGCAGCCGCAGCCGCAGCCGCAGCCGCAGCCGCAGCAGCAGCTGTTGTAGTTGTTGTAGTTGTTGTAGTTGTAGATGTTGTAGATGTTGTTGTAGGTGTTGTAGGTGTTGTTGTTGTTGTTGTTGTTGTTGTTGTTGTTGATGTTGTTGTGGCAGTAAGTAGCAGTAGTACCAGCAGCGGCAGCAGCAGTAGCAACAGCTGGTCACGAGACCACGCTTCGTGTCAGGGCTCTTGCCTTGGATCCTGTGCTGTGGGGTTATTGACAGTTATCACACAATATATAACCCTAAACCCTAAACCCTAAACCCTAAACCCTACGTCCTCAAGCGCTAACTCTGAACCCCAAGCCTCTCTACCCCTCAGCCAGGCTATACCAGACACGGGACTGCGATCTGCGTTGCAAAACTGGCTCGGGCCTCATCGCAGGGAAAGCGGCTTCTAAGGGTTTAGGTGAAAGCGTTTCTGTAGAGTCGGAATCATTTGCAAAAGTACTCCCTGATAGACCCTATACCACATATCTGGACTTAGCGATGAAGGCCCCTACCTTATGCTATACCCTAACTAAACCCTGAACTCCAAACCCATAAAGCGTGTCGACAGGGGTTGTGGTATGCGTCAGGATGTAAGTCCAATGTAATGTTGGTGTTACAGTTTAGGGATCGACACTTTTTGCGGAGTTCTTGTCGAGGAAAATGCAGCAGTCAAGTTAACATAGGGACAAGGATTTTAGAATAGTACAGGAACATCTGACAAACCCAAAACCCTAAACCCTATATCTTATAAACCCTAAGCCTTACAAGAACGCAGGTCAAGGAGTTCCTTTGACTTTATTCTCTGACCCGTCAGCAGGCTGAAAGCATCTTTCAATCGGACACTGAACAACTCCTGCTTCGGGGTTTAGGGTTTAGGGGTTTGGGGTTCAGGGTTCAGGGGTTTAGAGTTTAGGGTTTAGGGGTTTAGGGTTCAGGGTTTCGGGGTTTAGAGTTTAGGGTTTAGGGGTTTAGGGTTTAGGGTTCGCGTCTAGTTCCATGGCTTTATGTTGTCCATAGACCATCTTGTACCGGAATAGAAGGTATTAGAGTTGATCGTAGTATAGCAGGATATGAGACCCTGTATACTATACTGGCCCCAAACCATAGGCTTCCATGGATCGAGTATGATTTCGCCAAGGGCCGAGAAGATGAACGGGCACGTCCAGGAGTTGAAGCACCTTGGCTACGCCCCAGCCTTTTTGAGTGGAGGCCTTGACAGTTTATTTCTACACCATACTATGACACAAAATGCTTTTTGATTCTTGAGGCCCCTGCTTTGGATTACGGCTTAGAATATGGGTGTAGGACAGCTGCTTGTGTTTTGCTTGTTTGCTGCCCATGTGTGCGCAGCTGTCCGAGTAGCTTCTACCGCCAGAGTCCGTATGATAGCGGTCGGCAGAATCAGCAGGATCCCCCTACATGTTCTCTCGTAGTCAGCAGTATGATGGACCCCAGCGCCTCTTCAAAGTATCCGGGCCCCTTCATTAAACTCGCAAAATCCTATGAAAACTCATTCAAAACACATCAAATCTAGCATCTCAGAAGCTTCCGGCGTTCTTGCGAAGCCGGGGCCAACGGCCAGCTTAGGGATTGAGGCTGATCATGGTTTAGAGCTTTCATGGTTTAGAGCTTTGAATAATTCCTAAGACAGAAACCAAAACGCGAGTTCGAGGAGGAGCGGGGGTGAAATTTGATCTCAGCCGAGTGGGTCCCTAAATTCCCTGAAGGCTCCAAAACCACAAGCCGCGGGCTCACAGTAGATGACTTAAGGTAAGGCGGCGAAGGCAGGCGCTAGAAGGGGAATCTGAGTACGTAACACAGCGTAGCGGGTACAGGTTTAGTGCCGGGTTTCGGGCAGAGCAACCGGAGTCCTCAAACAGGAGGTGCTTCGTCTGAAGAGAGGGGTCTGGCAGTCTAGGATTTACGCCAAAAGTTCTGCTACGAGCAATGCGTTCGCGAAGCATTGTCGAAAAACTGGTTCATTCCACATCGCACCCAAAGACCTCCGTCTCATCTGTCCAAATCAACGACAAAGTGGGGCGGGACAGACTTAAGATGAAAGTGAGGAATTACGACTTGAACTCGCATGTAAACACTGTTCAGCGTTGCTCTAGATATGGACAAGGGCACATGGGCTCTATCATTCTTGCACAATACTGAACCAATGCCAGAAACTTAATGCGAAAGATAACGTACTAAAATATTAACAACCTACTAATGTCAACATTATCGCAAACGTTAAACCCCCAAAACCTGAACAGATCGGGATCCCAAACCCAAAGAGAACCCCAAGCCCAAACACCTCGTTGGCTCTGCAAAAACAACAGTGAAAAGGCACATGCAAGCACAGGACACCTGGACTTAGGTAGTGAGGTTTAGGGTTCAGGGCTTATCAAAAAGGGTTCAGGGTCTAGGGTTCAGTCTTTGCCTAAGTAGCAGCTCAGGAGCATTCTGAGCACCGCCCGCCAGCGCCCAAGGAGCGACTGGCACACCAAACCCCAGACCCCTAAATGTTGAACTCCTACATTCGACTGATAAACTCCTTTGGAGCAGACCCTGAACTCCCGAACCCCTGCACCCCGAACATCCTATAGACCCTATGTAAATCCTAAGCCCTAAATCCTAAAGAACCCGGAGCCCTAAGAACCCCCCGGAGCCGAACCAATCAACCTGCGACTCGGAAACAGTTCAGGAATTAGGCATTACGGTTGCCAGATTTAGGGTTTAGGGTTTAG